AGAGAGAGAGAGAGAGAGAGAGAGAGAGAGAGAGAGAGAGAGAGAGAGAGAGAGAGAGAGAGAGAGAGAGAAAACTTTCATGTAAATAAAATGCCTCAGTGGAAAATATTTTTTAAAGTAAACATAACTAAAACAAAGTCCAAAGTACTTCCTGGGACAACTAAAGCCTCTGACAATCTAGTTGGACCTTAATTAATTTCCGAGCCTCTTTCTCAGAGCCCCTTTTTGTTTCCATATGCCAGAGGACTCGGGGTGAGCTTGTGTGAGCATTTCCAACCAAATGCCTGCTCGCTGGACTTGAGATTACACCTCACTTCCTCATCACGCCCCCTCCCCGCTTTGTTCCTAAAACAGGGCGTGGGAAGATAAAGGTGCTGCTCCAAGCAGGTGAAACTGGTACCGGATTTGCTAAAGTCAGAGCCTGAGCCATGGCAAGCCTCACGAGCTAGAATCTGTCTTCGCTGCGTCAATTAAAGAAACAAGTTAACAGTGAAAGGCAGGAGTCCTCCTATTGGCGGCGGGGTGATGGCGTCATCACACCGCGACCGTGGACCCTACGTCCCCTGGAGAAGAACAGCCGGCTTCTTGCAACGGGACCGGCTGTGGCTTCTGCGCTCTTGACCTGTAGCCTCGCAGGTGTCAGCTGACAGTGTAAGGCGCCGGGCGGGTCCGGCTGCAGCGGCTAGGTAAACTGAGGCTAGAGCAGCGCGGGAGGGAGATGAACCTGGCGCTGGGAAACCGAGCAGCCGGCCTCGGTTCACGGAAAGTGGAGGTCGGCAGGGTCGCATACACGGCCCTGCGCCCGAAGCTGCCCGTTCCTGTGCTGTTTGCTAAGGGACACTTGTCCTGTAGGACACCAGCGCCACCTTGTCAGATGACTTGACCTCGTGAAGCCTCAGTGCTACTGTCTGTTCAGTGGGGAGTGCGGCAAAGACGGAATGAACCTGAGCGCGCTGTCACGGAGGACTAACACAACCTGGGGTTTGGGGCTATCAGAGAGCAGGCGGTCAGCCCTATCTCTAAGTCCACAGTCGTTGGCCGCTCAGAGGCATGACTGAAGACAATAGGCAGGTAGCAGCTAGGGCCTGAGAGGGGTAGGCAAGATTGAAACCTGATTATCTCGCTTGGAAATTACCTTGCTTCAATATCATCTAGACATGGATTCAAATACCAGCTCTTTCATTGAGCTGTATGACCCTTGAACCTTAGACAAGCCACTTCCCCTATCTAAGTTTTGGCTTGTTCATCTGTAAAATTGCCCAGCAGTACCTGCCAACCACAGTCAAGAGAATTCAAGGAGACATCACAGGCGGAACACTTGGCTTTCCTCAGGACAGTTACTGTCATTTTAGTGTGTGACGTGGGTGACCACGTGTGCTGTGACAGCCTTCAGATTGTGGCAGAGCGGTGCTTGTGTAGTACAACAGAGCAGAGGATGGAAAAAAAGCCTTTGGTTGTCTGGACAGACTTGTCAGCTGGCACTGTGGTGCTCCTGAACAGAGTAGGTTGAGGTGAGGACCAAGAGCCCAGGACTGAGAACGCTACCTCTCCATTCATTAACGTAAAGACACAGGCTTGCGTGTGTGCACGGGGAACAGGCCTTGAGTGTCCTTCAGGTACTGTCCACCTTAGTTTTTGAGACTATGTTTCTTGTTAGCCTAGAACTAACTCTAGACTGGCTAGCAAGCCCCAGGAATCCACCTGTCTCCACTTCCCTAGCACTGGAATTATAAGTATGGACCACTGTGTATAAACCTTTTCACGTGGGTCCTGGGGAATGGGTGGGAATGGAGTGTGGTTTAGCTGACCCAGCACCCATATCATAAAAACAAAAGAAACATAAGAGTGAGTCTTATCTTTAGGTGGAGCCTGGAACTCAAAATAGGCTCTGAACCTTGTTACTTTCCAAAAGATCTGGGTCTGAGGAAGGGAGGAATGGCCAACCATATCCCAAAGTTGATGATTGCTAGGCTCTTCCCGGAAGTGAAAAGACAGTCCCCTTGCATCTCTCATCTGCTCACTGGACAGATCAGTGCAAGCCTGTGCTCTCACACAGCGGCAGCACTGTGGGCTCAGCAGGGAAAGAAGCAGACATAGCTGCTGAACCCAGGGAGATAGCTGAGCAATGTGGTAAGACCAGGTCTCCAGCTTCTTGGCACCCTGAGTCTCCCCATGCTCCAACCATAGAAAACTGGTGCCTATTGGAGGAGGCAGAGGACAGCTCTTAGGCCAGAGCAAACTGGTAGGGGTTCTAGGTTGAGCCCATGAGGATGGAAAGTGTTGAAGTCATAGGATCAAGTTACAGCTTTTAAAAGCTCCATGAAGCAGCTGTGAAGCCATATCTAGGAGTAGCTATTGGCCTAATTTGGGGCTGATTCCTAGCCCTGAACATTTTAACCTTCCTCAGTTGGAGGGCTTCCTCTAAAAGCTAGGTAGAGGCAGCGGTCTGGCCATCTTCACAGCATCGTCACGATATCTGAGTCTTGAGTACACCGGTTGCTGGTATCTGTCTCTCCAGCATGCAAAGATGACAGGGCCAAGTTGGCCTGCTGTGTCCCCCGCTTGCCAGCAGTAGGAGCCGTCAGGAAATACTGGTTGAGGAAAGGCTGGGCTCTCTGGGGTAGCTTTAAGCCTGGCATGGTCTTTGAAGTATAACAGAGTAAAATGACCTATGTGAGCACTTCCCCACCGGCATGCTGGGAATGGTTGATGGGGCAAAGGAACTAAGGGATCCTCATGATGGTTCTCCAGTCCTCCTGTCTTCTTTCCTTTCAGGCTTTGATGCTGAGCTCTGGTAAAAGGAGGCTGTTCTCAGCTCTGCTGCACGTTCAGAAGAGGCCCTGTCAGCCATCGAGAGCGATGAGACTGGTACAGTTCCAGACACCCCACCTGGAGGGGCCTCACCTGGGCCTGGAGTCGGGGATTGGTGGGGGAGTCGTAGACCTAAACACCTTTGACCCCACACTCCCCAAGACAATGCTGCAGTTCCTGGAGCAGGGAGAGACTGCCCTCTCAGTGGCAAGAAGGTAAGTCAGCAGGCCCCGGTCCCTCTCGCTCCTCCCATCTCTCTCCTGCCCTGAGAATCAGAATCAGCAGGTACCTCCTTTCAAAGGAGCAGGGGATCCCACCGTTCTCTTTTTCACTTGTTCTTTTAGTGAAGAGATAACAGTCATTTATCTTTTCCTTTGAGACAGGGTCTTGCTATATAGCCTAGGCAGGCTTTGATCTAGAGAACCTCCTGCCTCAGCCTCTTAAATGCTACGAGTGAATTACAGGTATATATGATCATACCCAGCAGACGCCTTAAAAGTCTTATATAATGACACTCTCAATTCCCTCAGAAAGGGAAACTGAGGCTCAGGGAGTATGATTAATTCATTTGGTTGTGGAGCCACGACCTTACCTTATAATACTACCTTCCTGAAAGGCTAAGTTCCTCCCACTGGAGGAGCTGTAACAAGGTACCAAGAAAGGCTTTTTTTTAGGAAGGTGTGGGTCCGATTTAGACCCTTAGAGGAAAGAGACCTCTCCATTTAGTTCCACAGGAACCTTTCACATACTTCTGCATGAACAGGAATTACCCAAGGTGGGAGGAAATACGCATTGAGAAGTACCACCCTGCTTTGCTATAAAAGGACTGTGTAGCTGGGTTTGAGTCTTACACCAATGGGGAAAGATCTAGAAAATGCAAAAGGCACAACTCATAACTGCTGAGGGACCTCCCCAGCCTGCCCTGGGATTCCCAATCTGTTCCTTGCTAGCCCTTCTCCCGCTTGGTCTCTACAGAGCCCTGGCTACTCAGTTGCCAGTCCTCCCTCGGTCACAGGTGACCTTCCTGGCCCCTGTCACCCGGCCAGACAAGGTGGTATGTGTGGGCATGAATTATGCAGATCACTGCAAAGAACAGAATGTGCGGGTGCCCAAGGAGCCCATCATCTTCAGCAAGTTCTCCAGTTCTATCGTGGGGCCCTATGATGAGATCATCCTCCCACCAGAGAGCGAGGTTAGTGCTTCCCACCACCCAGGTGGCTGTGGTCCAGCGTAAGGGGCATTCCCCTGGAGCAGTGGTTCTCGACCTGTTGGTCACAACCCCTTTGGGGGCCAAATGACTCTTCCACAGGGATCACACATCAGATACCACATTATGATTCATAACAGTAGCAAAGTTACAGTTATAAAGTAGCAATGAAGTAATTTTATGGCTGGAGGTCACCACAATATGAAGAACAATATTCAAGGGTTGCAGCATTAGGAAGGTTGAGAACCACTGCCCTTAAGGAATCTTCTGTCACTCGGGAGCGCACAACCACAAACAGAAGCTAGAGAGGACTGTATTGTACTAACACAGCCTGGGTATGGGTGACAGGAGGAAGTGGCGTAATCTTTCCCCAGTTACAAAGTCGTTTTCCACAATGAAAGTATATTAATAACCTAGGTAAAACAAACCAGTATCCTGCTGCCCATGCTTTGGTATTCGCATTTGCTGTATTTGCCCAGTGTTGTCTGTCCAGGTGTAGTCTACCACACATGCACCTTGTTCCATTTGGTCTTCCCCCATTGTCTGTCCCAGCTGTCTCTGCCAGACACCCCGCCTTGTCCCAACTCCATCAAGAATATCTTTTCATCCCACTCAGTCTTCTCCCTGACACATTTGAGATCTCCATGTGGCTCCCTTTCCTGGCACTTTTGAAGGATTGTTTCCTCATAGGGTGCTTAGTTTGCCCCGTTTCCTTGTGACCAGCTGAAGCAGTTTTCTGAGGGGTCCTACACAGGAAATGTCCCATATTTCCCATTGCAGCCTGCCAGGAGGCCCACATCAGGTGTCCTCAGATGTCACCACGTTGCTCACTCTGACCGTAACTGGCCTGTGGAGGCCAGAAGATGTACTATTCCCTGGAACTCTCTCTCTGGAGCACTGTTGGTTCTCACCTTGCACCCTGCTGAGGCAGCCAGGGCCTCTTTTCTATGCTGCATATCAGGCTAGCTGACTCCTAAGCTTCTGGACGATTCTGCTCTGCCTCCTGCCCACTATAGGGGTACTGAGCTTACAAGTGTGTGCTGCTGCATCCAGCCTTTTACGTGTGTTCTAAGGGTTGAACTTGGGTTATCAGGCTTAGGTGACTAGCACCCTTACCTGCTGAGCCATCTCCCTAGTCCTCCTTTTGTACTTTTAGTATTCCCTTGAATTCTTTTTCTCCTTACCTAATTTGGGTGAGCCCACTTTGGCCCATCCTGTTTCCATTCCCCTTTGAGCATGCCCTCACTTTCTGGCTTCACTGAAGCTCATGCAGTCTGCTACACTAGTCAGCCATTTCCTGAGGGGCCTGCTTCTTTAGTGGCATCCGTAACACAAGCTGGCCCCTGAGTTCAGGTGAACTTCTGCCAGTTCATCACCATTAAAAACAGCTGAGAAAGATTAAATTGAAGCTCTTTCCAGTTGCACTTTGCTCACTGGGGAGAGGCTGGCATTTCTTCCTCATGGGTTGCTTTATGTAAGCCCTTGAATACACTTATTCCAGGACAGCTCATGCAGTGTCAGGCACAGTGGAGCTACACATTGCTGACTGTTACTGCTCGGCGTCACTCTCCATTGCAGGCGTCCAGAGTGACTTTAAACTCAGTCCCCAGACGTGTTGAGCTAGTCACCTCCAATGGTGCTCTTTGCCATTGCCCAGAGCTTAGGGGTCTGCAAGTCATAGCCACGTCATTCACTTCACCCTGGTTCCCAGAGCTGAGGCCTACCTTCAGCCGCTGCAGCTCACTGTCCTCTCCCACTTGCAGGAGGTGGACTGGGAGGTGGAACTGGCCGTGATCATTGGAAAGAAAGGCAAGCACATCAAGGTGAGGTGGGAGGGTGCTCCCAGGCCAGGGAGGAGCAGCAGTCCCAGGTCCTCTGTTGTCCTGCACCGGGCGTGTTTGCACTTTCACTCCCTTGCCTTTCACACACCACTGTTGGCCAGCGCTGGTGCTAATGTGTGATAATGGTTTTGAGATTCTTTGTTCTAGGGGTTGTGTCACCTGTGATGTAACCTATCTGGCCAAATCTGCCCCAACAGGCCACAGATGCCATGGCTCACGTGGCTGGCTTCACAGTGGCTCATGATGTGAGTGCCCGGGACTGGCAGATGAGACGCAATGGAAAGCAGTGGTTACTAGGGAAAACTTTTGACACTTTCTGCCCCCTGGGCCCTGCCTTGGTTACCAGGGACAGCATAACAGGTAGGTTGTTAGTCTTTGCCACTTGAACCCTCCCACATGCAGCACCTGAGCGTCAGGAGAAAATAGTGCTCCAGCAAGGACTGCACTTACAAGTACATGCAGAGCTTGGATGTCACTGTTGTCCCCAGAGAGCAAGTGGCCAGCCTCAGCTGTGAACCAGCTCGGAGGAGCTTCTTCCAGAGCCTCTTAGAGGGAACAGAGCCATAGCTGCTGTGAAATTACATCCTCAAAATGAACTACAAGGAGCACTGCTCTTGGGGGTCAGGGAGGGGCTTTCTGCAGCTTCCCATCTCGAGTAGCCAGTCCTTAAGCTAGAAGAAAGCAAGGCTGGCTCTTGAGCATGCTGGAGAATGGCTGTGTGTGATGAAGCCTGTTCATTTTTTGTAAGGGAGAGGCAGAAAAACACCAATAAATAGGACCTTGTCCACCCACTGTGCACTCATCCATGGGGCATGACGTGGGTGCGTGGGGAGCCCCTCAGGACAGTGGTGCCTCAGAAGCTGTACTCCAGCTGCTGTGGAGGGTGAAGATAGTTTGCGTAAACCATCATCTGCTGCTCCGCTATCCCTGTTGTTTTGAGATGTTGAGTCATTTTAGATCTAATTATCAGCTTTAAAACATTTTATTACATTTCTTCATGTATGTATATGTGCATACTATGGCACCTGGATAGAAGTCAAAGGACAATTTTCAGGAGTTGGTTCTCTTCCATATGGATCCCAGAGACCAAACTCAGGGCCCCAGATTTGGCAGTGAGTGCCTCTACCTGCGAAGCCAAGTGCCCACTTTTAAAAGGCAAATCCCTCGGCTATTTTTCTCTGTTCAGAGTCTAGAATGTCCCTCCTTCCCTCACTTAAGGGCTATTGCTGTTGATGGGTGAATTTAGGGAATTCCAGTCTGTACAGGAAGTCCCAGGGTAACGTGCTAAGCCAAGGTGGGTAGACATGCTCCCTTACAGTTTCCTCTCTCCTTTGGGACTGGGTGTTGGGGGAGTGGATAACCCACAGTATTGTTTTGAATTCCAGACCCACACAATCTAAAGATCTGCTGCCGTGTGAATGGGGAGGTAGTCCAGAGCAGCAGCACCAACCAGATGGTGTTCAAGACTGAAGAGCTGATAGCCTGGGTCTCCCAGTGAGTGAGTGGAGCCTGACATAGCCATTGCAACCCATGCCCACTGCACACCTCAACCCATAGTCTTACTGACCCTTGTGCTGTCCCTAGGTTTGTCACTCTTTATCCAGGGGACATCATCCTGACTGGGACTCCTCCAGGTGTCGGTGTGTTTAGGAAGCCTCCTGTCTTTCTCAAGGTGAGTCCATTTAAAAGAGTAAATAGTACAGACACGAGAGCTAGGGAGACCTGGCAAGCTTGAAGCAGCCTGCGGGGAGTGAAACGGGGGCTAAAAGCCTGGTGGCCTGCTGTGTTACAGAAGGGGGATGAAGTCCAGTGTGAGATTGAAGAAATCGGTGTCATCGTCAATAAGGTGGTGTGATGGCATCCCTGTGAACACTGGACTTGACACAAGGTGGGACTTTTGCTCCCACAAAGCTCACTGCTGGCCCTGCCCACTTGAGGTGCTCCTAGGTAGGCCTTGGAAATAAATTTTCTCTCAGAGTTGCAGCTTAGCTTCTGCTGTCTTTAAGCCACACACACTCTCCCCCATCCCCGACGGTGGGCCATTTTCACAGGACTGAGTAAGGAGGGAGTAGATATTAGACACATGCTTCAGGCTTAGGGAAGAAACTAACCTAGTGTCTTTATTTATCACACCAAATGATGAATAAACACAGCTTTTGTAAGTCCGGATTGGCTGTGTCCTGATGAGAGGACACAGCCCTAAGTTCTAGGCTGACAAGTCCCATCAGGTTCCACTCTGTTCCTAACTGCAGATGAACTGTCGGATAAATTGTTCTAGCTTGTCCTGGTTGTCCCGGCTGGCAAATGTAGGGGACAGGTGGAGCTGGGGGCCTGTAGGGCTGGGCATCTGTTGTAGTACCTGAACCACAAGATGGACTGTAAGCACCCTTGCTGAAGGGACAGTGTTCCCAGGGCCAAGCCTGTCCAACTTTCCCACCCCCACAAAACTCTGTGGTGATGCCTCAGTGCCTGAGTGTAAATACTACTTGATGTCCCTGGGACCCCACTGTAGGTAGGGAAAGCAAACCATCCTCGCTAGCATTCACCATGGGGTGTGGGAACAAGGTGGTTCCTCTGAGCAGTTCTAGCAGCCCGTGGGGCTTGGGGTGAGGTCAGGGACAGAATGGTGATAATGTCCCTCTTACCCCCAGGTCTTTGAATGTCCAGATAGCACTGATAGCAAGATTTGGGTCTGCACACTCTGGAGGGAAGAGAAAGACAAGGAAAGCTCTAAGGGAAGCCAGGGAGCCACTGGGCTGAGCTTTCTTCCTCTTAAAGGAGAACCAACTAGGGCTTGCATATAACTAAAGCTCTGTATGCTAGCTCCCTTCCCTGGTGTCAGGCAGCCACTGTCCAGCAGGGGGTAGCAGTCACCAGCAAACTACCCCCTCTAGGGAGTCTGAAATGGGGCTTGGAACTCACCAAAGATCCCTTCTTTTTGGGCACAGTCCTGTAAAAACTGGAACAACTGCTCTGAGTAGCTCGCCTCTGCAGGAGAGATATTAGACCTAGAGCCCAGCTCTATGGGACTGAGCCTTACCCTGAACACTGCCAGGGTAAGGGCCTTACCTGAATCCGGCAGCTGCCCCAAGTGGAGGAAGGTGGCAGCCTGTGCGAAGGCCTTGAGTATTGGACTGAGCAGGCGGCAAAGGAAGAGGAAGAAATCAGGGCAGCGAGACTGCTGGCTAAGCTGAAGAGAGCCAGACCAGAGTGGGAAGGTGGGCTCCCAGGAACCTTACCACCTCCACTGCCTCCCAGGGTTTGTAGCATCTCCCAACATACCCTGAAGTACCGGCCCCCTGGCTCCTCAAAGTCATCACTTTCACTGTCAGTGAAGTCCCCACTCGGTTTCCACAGCAGCTTAGCACTCAGATGCTGCCTTCCCGTGTCACAGGCTGGCCGGGAGCCCGGAGTCTAGGAGTTGGGAAGAGTTACTGGTACCTGGTAAGGCTGGGCCGGAATCAGCTCTACAACCCTCAGACCTGGTCCTGGCCCAGCAGGTAAAAGCAGGTCTGGGAAGCCCAAAAGGATACCCAGAGCTACTTGGGCCAAGTACCCAAGCTCCCAAAGAAATGCGGAGGCAGGATGTGTGAAGAGAACCTTAGCTACATATGCAAACTGGCATGATTCAGATAGGCCCAGGCTAGTGGAAACAGGCTTGCATGTGCTGGGCAAAACAAGCAGCCCAGGGTGCTGGCACCTAGGGTGGGGAGCATACCTCCTCAGCAACCAGGAGCCCACATTGGATGAGGCGGTCCAGCACTTCCTGACAGTAGCAGTAGGAAGACTGGCAGGGCTGTAGGAAGAGAAGCACCAAAGCCATTCAGAGAACATACCCCCCCTTCGGGGCGGGGGGCAGAATTTTGACCAGAGGTAGTTGGAGGACAGAATCACTACCACGGGAGGTCATAATGACAAGGCCTAATGACAAGGCCCAGGGCCCTGCTGAGCTGCGGGAGAGGAATCTGACCTGGGGCAGCAGTAGGTCTTGGGGTAGCAGGTGTAGCAGCATTAGGATCTGGCGGTACAGTTCATTCTGACTCAGCAGCTCTATGCCCTGCAGCTCCCATGGCCCCTCAGGTGGTACTCTGCCGACCAGCAACCCCCGCACTGCACAGGCTGGCAGAGGAGGCTGCTTAAGGAGGGAGCCGTTCCCCTCTCCTTGCACATCACCCAACCCTGTGAGCCCACTGACTCACCACCCACAGCTTCGCTCAGGAAGGTGGGCAGCAATTCCTTGCTCAGACGTGCCAGGTGTGTGAGGCCTGGCCCAGGTCGTGGCACCACCACCAAGTCCCCCTGGTGGACACGCAGCAGAACCACGTGTGCCTTCAGCAGGCTCAGTGTATGTTGGGCCAGGCACCGCAGTTGCCCAGAGAAGCCCACGTCAAAGCCACGCAGCAGTGTCTCCTCTGTCAGCCAGGAAAACTCCCCCAGGAGCTGTGACAGGACCACACCCTGGAGACAAAACAGACTGAGCAGGGGGCCAAGCCCTGCTCTTCCCTGGGCCCCACCGTACAGTGCCCTACCTTTTGGTGCCTCAACAGCAGCAGTGTTGCCATGATGGCTGTGCTCATCACTGCTGAACTGGCCACACTGGCTGGGGAGAGGGGGAAAGGTGGGGATGTACAGTACTGTCAGGGGTCAGGGCCTAGAGAGGGTCTCCCCGCTACCCAACCACACGGCCCCATCTCCACCCCAGCAGGAGAGAACAGGTTCCAGGAAGTAGTTATAACCAGACCCACCCCAACAGTGTGCTACAGTGACATTTGAGAAAGCAGTAACAGCCACATCAGGGAGTGCCCTCTGCAGGCACGTGTTGCTACTCCTAAGGACATTGGTTGAGGGGCATCTGAGATTGAGTTGGACCTGGCATAGATCTCCTGCACAGTTGCCTTTGCCTCAGACATTGAGTTCATCTGCTCCCCTTCTCTCTGGATACCCCACTCTTCTGGTATCCCAAGTGTGCCACGAAGGGGATGGGGGTGGTCAGGTCCTGGTAACTGGTTCCGTATTATCCACATAAAGTACTGTTGAAACTACACCTTAAAGGTGCAGCTCCGGGTTTCCCTTACCACTCAGGACATGCCGGCTCAGTCTTCTGACCAGGAGCTGGTCCTCTTCTTTGAGGGTCAAGAGGAGCCCAGTTGATGGGGTCCACTCCTGCTCCTTCTCAGTGTCTGGAACAACACTACTGGAATAGAGACAGATCAAAGAATGAAACCAGACTAAAACGTCAGAGTCTAAAGCTTTCCAAAGCTATAGCTGTTTTCCCCAAGTCCCCGTCCAGGCCTGTGTGCCATCCTCCACTTAGACTGCAGGGAAGGTGAGTGTCTGGTGCTGATGTTCTGGGATGGTTGGAGTGGTCATGAGTTGAAGAGCCACCTGCCTCCCTTCTGAGACCCATACATCTGTGCTTACCATTCACCTAACACAATGGGCTTCAGCAAGTGTTCCAGGGTCTGCCTACTATCCCAGCAGCTTCTAGCATTGATGGTGTATTCCTGCCCAGGATAAAGACGTGTGGTCTGCTCTTGCCCCCACAGGAAACCCTCACACAAACCATTTAAGACAGAAAATACTATCCCTACAATGGCTTTGAAGGACAAATCACAAAAGCTCTCCCAGCCTTTCCCAACTGGTTTCATACCTGCAGGGAAAAAGGCTGGGCGAGGTGTACCCTGACGCAGGCTCTCTGGTTGCAGCCCCAGCAGTTATACAGTTTCCAAAAGACAGCCAAGGCTCCTGTCCATAGCCCCAAGGGAGCCAAGTCCTGCAGGGAAGGAGAGGCTGCACATGTATTCTTGGACAATTCTCAGGGCTGCTACCCATTCTGCCCTCCACACTGCTCACTGATCTTCTCCAAACTTTCACCCATGACCTCCCTTGTGGGGTCTTTTCTAAGATGGTGATGGCAAAGACCTTGGGAGATACTGCAGGATGGTGACTGTAGGGTCAGTTCCTTTACACACAGTTCACATTCCAATTTGACTTCAGCTCTAAGGAAGCCCAATCACAGAACATACTATGCCACCTAGAAGTGGTGTCCACTTGGGGTCCCCCCCCAGGGTCAAGATGCTCTCACATGGTTCATGTCACATGGTGCATCTGGAACCAGGTCATAGGCAATGGCAACTGGTACCAGTGTGGCATCTGGAATGATGCCCTCCTGGACCACTTGGACCACCAGTCCTAGCCAGGCCTGGCCCAGGGCTGAAAGCCTGGGCCCTGGGTACCCAGAAGGCTCTTCAAGGAAGATGAGAAGAGGCTGCCCACTGGCGAGCAGCTGCTCCACAGCCTAGAAGAAGAGAGGAAGGGTGAGCAATGAGGCCAGATTAGAAGCAGACTCTTGTACCCTTGGCCCACCCCATACATAACCACAGGGAACACTCACTGCACGGACCACAGCCCTTGCAAGGATGCCATCTGAGCTGTCCAAGGACAGGTTGGCCTCTGGGGGCAGGAAAAGTCCCCCAAGTTTCTTCAGTAGAGTTCTGTGAGCACAGGACAGAGCCTAGTGAGAAGGGGCTCTGGAGGAGAGACTGGGCCCAGATGCTTCACAAGAGTCTTGCCTCTCCCAGGCCGATCTGGCTAGACACTTGAAACAGTCATGGCCCAAGGACCCATAGCCAACCATCCATCTAAGTCTACAGGTTAGGCTGTCATATGGCTGAAAACACACTAAGAAGGCGAATTAACTTCCACCCTCCTGCTCTAGCCTGGGACTTCCCTCCTGTCATACCTGAGGGCAGGGGAGCAGGTGTGGGGGTCCAAAGCCACACGGACCACACCCAGGCCCTGGGAGAACAGTACAAAAGGCAGCAGGAACCCATCCAAGAGGGACTTGTGTGTAGAAAGGAAAACAAGCGGCGAGCCCTGTTCCAGAGACAGCCAGAAGGAAGTACCCACCATAAAAATACAGCCCAACCCCAGCACCTACAAGTCCCAGGGCAGTACTGAGGGAGGGAGGGCTCCTCTACACA